TCAATTTTATTTATATAGCGCCAAATCACAACAAATGTCGCCTCAAGGCGCTTCATAGATACAGAGAAAAGCCCAACAATCATATGACCCCCCTATGAGCAAGCACTTTGGCGACAGTGGGAAGGAAAAACTCCCTTTTAACAGGAAGAAACCTCCGGCATCAGGATGCGATGTCCTGTGTGAGGATGCTCTCCACAGCGCCTGTATAGAAAGTCCAGAGGATCACTGGAGCGAAGCCGAACTTCCTCAGTTGTCAGAGGTGATACAGGCGCTGCCTACCCTTTTCGGACTGGACCTGAATGTGGGCAGACCATGTCATGCCTGAGCCGATGTAGACACCGAGATACTTGAAGGACTGCACCCTCTACACTGGAGCTCCATTGATGACAATGGGCTTTGTGCTGACTCATTCTAAAGTCCACGACCAGCTCCTTGGTTTTGCATTCAGCTGGAGGTGGTTATACTGGCACCACGATGTCAGATTCCTCACTTCATCCATGTCATTGTTATTGGAGCCCAACACCACTGTGTTGTCAGCAAACTTCACAATGGTATTGGAGCCGTGGGTGGCCACACACCCCTGTGGCGCTCCCGTGTTGATGGTGATACTGTCAGAAACGCACCAACCCGCCCTCACCACCTGAGCTCTGCCAGTGAGGAAGTCCAGCACCCATGCAGACAGACGACTGATGAGTCCTAAACCCCTCAGCTGTGTGAATAGTCTACCGGGCACTATTGTGTTAAATGCTGAACTGTAATCAACCAACAGCATTCCCCTGTTTCTTGTCTACATGGCTAAGGGTGGTGTGCAGGACATGGGCGATGGCGTCTAGGTTGGTAGGCGAACTGGAGTGGATCTGTTTGAGAAGGGTGCAGTCCTTCTCGAACACCTTCATTACTACAGAAGTCAGTGCAACAGGCCAGTAGTCAATCAGGCATGAGGGCATGTTGGACTTGGGCACAGGGACGATGGTGGATCTCTTGAAGTATGTGGAGACCACAGACTTATCCATGTATCACTCACTTAAAACAATCAACCAAACATGTAATTAAAAAAAACTATATATAACCTCCATTAGTTCTCATGCATAACGACACTGAAGGACATAACAAAAGGGTGAGAAAACTAAAATCCTGATACATTAGAGAAATGTGCAGTCAAAAATAAGGAATATGGAAGATAAACTGGAAATATTAGTACAGCTATCCTCCCACAGTAAGTTCTATTGGTTGTTAAGATAAAAAGACAAACATGATAATAATTATTATTAGTTCCTGTTCCAAATTCAAGATTCAAGAGATTCAAGGTTCGTCATTCGTCACATGCATAGTTCTAAAGTATAACTCACAGTGAAATGTAACCAGACACGCTCCTCGACTTGTGCAAAAGGGGAGAGAGGAAGAACATCATATATTATATACATATATAAAAGAGCCACTAAATAAGACTAAACTATTTCTTTACTATTTGGGACTCTTTCATTTATAATAACCATCCTTTTTGAAACATGTCAGTTGAGTTTTTCCTTGTTTGATGCAATTATTAACACATAATGGGCAGATACTGTTGTAGGAATGCACTTTTAGTTTCATTTCTCAGTTTCCAGCATTTCAGGCTTTGCAGCATTGTTTGTGTTGACCCAACTGACAATAAAACTCCCAATCCAAGGAGCATCCTTTCAGTTCAAGGATCAGAGGTGGGCAGAGGGCGTCCAGCAACAAAAGGTAAGAGTTTCCAGTTTTCTACAAGTGATTTCACATTAACTTTGTTACATAGACTGGGAAAGGTCATTTATATCATGAAACTAGTAGCAGTTTTATAGAAAAGTTATCACTTTTTAATTTTTTGGAAATACATATGTGCACATGCGGTACATTAGTCCTGTTCAGGGAAACAGAGGTCAATTGAATGTCCATAGAAAGCTTTTATTTTTTCTTACACTCACCAAACGATTACTCGTGCTTACTTTTCCTCTGTGTAATGCTGTAGTGTCTTCACCTTGCAATATAACATTTCTTGTGCATTTACTTTGTAAATCAAGCTTAATGTAGAGATGTAGATGTATTATACAGCACTGTGTGTCAGCTGTAGTTATTTTACTTTTTCTTCTTGACTTTCACAGAGTCAGCGTTCGGTGTCCGTGGGTGAAGTTCAACACAATGGCAATTCCAGGAAAACCCTTGACAGACTGGGACAGTGATGTCCTTGACTGTTGTCAGGATATGAAAACTTGTAAGAAGCCAGTTAAATTTTTACTGACTCATAGATTAAATTCAGGATTTTTTTCCTCATTTGTGTTGCCTTCATCTTTTGAGACGTGTTACCACTTTATTGATGTGTTTCTGTGTTTTTCAGGCTGCTATGGATTCTGGTGCTGCCCCTGTCTCGCCTGCACTGTTTCAGGAAACTTTGGAGAGAACAGCTGTCTCCCTTTATGTGATATATGTGGCCCTGGTATATTAGCAGCCTGCGGGATACCTATCTGTGTTCCTCCTGCAGTTTTGTCCATAAGAGCTGGCATGCGAAACCGATACGGCATCAAGGTATGAAGCATTTGATGGTGACACTGAACTCAAAAATCAACTTAACTAGGAATTCTTATTCACCAAATCAAAAAAATCTATATTGGATTTAATCTATGCCTAAACCTTTTTTGTCTAACATTCACACACATAGTATCTCTTCCGAGTAGATTCCAAGGGATTAATCTACCAAACTTCTGATTGTTAGATTTTGTTTAACCTGCTCTTCCACCTGAATTACACAAAATCTCTATGCTTGTACTCTCTTTCTGCAGGGCTCTCTCTGTAAGGACATTGTACTTTCCTGTTTCTGCGAGTGGTGCTCTTGGTGTCAGATGCATCGCGAGTTAAAGCATCGCAAGAAAAACCCGACTGTCATCAACATACAGAATAACCCTGTTGTCAGCATGCAGCCTATTCCAACTGTCCAACCAGCAATGATGATGATGCCTGCGCAACCAGTTGCAACTGGTTACATGTCTCAACCAACAGTGGTCATCCAAACAAAGTGACACTCGTAGAAGTCTGATTCTGCTCAGAGTGTGTTCTCATGTATTTACTTGTGAAAGCATAGAATCTAATCATGTTCATGTTAAATCCTTGCTATTGATTTTGTAATTATCAAGAAAATTATCTCTATTAAAAGTTAAATGATAGGAATGATGATTCACCTATTTGAAGTTTAGTTACAAATATGGATTTATGTTGTAGTTATAATAAAGTAATAATAATGTTTTACTGACTCAATAAAAAAATGAAATCACACATATGGGCTCATTGTGTACCTTGATCCTTTTCTGAGAGGTTTTTCAAATAAGTGTAACACCCATCCCACGTTCTACTGAGCGGGGCCCTGGCTTCCTATTGTTACTTTCCTACTGATACTCCCTTTTTGATACTTATGATATAAAATATGCAATAAAACTACACTACAGTGGAACCCCGACTTACGAAATTAATTCACTGATCAGAGAAGTCGGAGACCTCAGTGAGGAGCCTTCTGTTAGTCCTGCACCACTGAACCTGTTGATGCTGGGGTATTGTCTCTGGATTAGCCTTTGCACAACATAGATGAGATGAACAACTCTGCAATGATGAGGCAAATAAAGCAAAGTTCTTAAAGGTTATGGGACTTTTGTAACCCAGAACTTTAGAAATTGTCAAATTCGGTTAAACTGCTTAAATATGGCCTTCTCATGTATGTTCTGATTGAATATACAACAGCAGGCTATCGTTGGAAGATCCAAAAAAAAAA